ATGCAAGGCCCAAGAGCCACTCACGGTAGAGGTTTACTGATTGAGGTTGTTACACGTAAGAAGTACAGTTTGAAGATATGTAAGAAAGATAATGGTTCAACTTAGACGTAAAGAGGTTAAAATTGTAGTCATTGAGGAAGCATCTTCTCAGGAGTCTGTTCCATTAAGCATTGGTTTTTGGGAATAAGCTGTCCAAATGAAACTTCTTCCTTACTAGCGGAATACGAAGGGTGGGGGATGATTCGTTCGGTGTGCATAGCATGGCGGGTCTTAGCAGTGAAGGTCAGTAGTGAGAAATCAGAAACGTTTCGTTTCTGGAATAGAGGTTGTAGAGTGGGAAACATTTCATCATTCACAAGGCCAGAAAGGCGCTTCTGAACTTTATCAAGGCTGGAAAGTGTTCCAGCCCAGATACGGCAGCAGGTATTTCAATTTCGGTCACATCTGGTTCTTGTAAAGATAGAGCATAGTGTGACTATAGCAAACGGTAAGAAAAGACTTAAAACTAAAATATATCTTGGAACAAGACTAAAAAGGTTAAAAAATGGAATGATAAACAGACTGAGAGAAAGAATCAATTTTTTTTTTAATTTTAAAAGTCTATTTTTTTTAAGCAGAGACGGCTTGACGAAGGTAACTTTGTTGGACAGATATTACCACAGAGGCCATCTGGTAAAACTGGGCTGACAATTCATTAGATGACGCTGACTTAAAGTGGAAGTTAAGAAAATATTTCCTAGGAATCAGCCGGGAAAGGAAGCCGATTGAAGAGATAATATTTGGTAATTTTTAAAGAGAAAGTAGAATAAAAAATGATTCATTTTTGCCTATCAAAAATTGTAAATTGTAAACAAGTCGAGAAAATAGAATTTATTTACATAAGGACCTAACCTTGCGTTCTTAAATTCGATGGCCCTAACAAGATGAGGAGATAAGCTGATCGGAGTAAACAGTTGGTAAATTTCTGATTGTATAAACAAGATCAGGATGGGAAAGATTTGCTGACAAGAAGTTAAAATGATGATTCTAATTAATGACCAGAAAGTAAGCCATGCCATGTGGTTTGAGGACCAGCTTTGTCAAAAGGACAACCGAGGTGACAAGGCGTAGGTGAAATACCAAGAAGGACGGAAGAATTGCCTACACCCATTGGAAGATGTTGGTACGAGACACAAATAAAAAAAAAAGGAAGGGGTTATCGGGGCGGATCGATACCTGTGACCGCTGTTCATAGGAAAAGGAATCTCCCCAAATTTGGGGATATAAATGATTTTTCAGATCCAGAAGACAAAGGACTCTTGTTAGAACATAGAGGAAACATCGGGTCCCCTAACCACGTCGACCCCATGCCAGGTTTGGGTGAAAGTCAACATAAGAAGCGCTAGTTCCAGAGTGCAGACGACGAGAGACGACTACTCTGCCGAATCGCACGTGACACGCTGCCTGAAAGAACCACCGACTTAAGCCTTGTTCCAGACTTAGCTAAGCTGAAAAAAGTGTCACGATAGAATTCAAAGTGGGAAGTGTTAATATTTCTGTACAAATAACTAATATTTCTGTAAAAGAACGATATAAACCGCGTCTTTTCTTTATTTTGTCTGCAAGAACATTTTTATTTTTCCTTTATGGCATAGCTTCGCCGGGATTGAAACAGCGCTACATTTGCTGACGATAACTCGATTTTTGCCAGCTCCGTGATCAATCAACACAACGTGGGGTGGAGTTGGGAGTAGATCAGAACGAAGAAGAAGAAGATTGACAAGAAGATTATTTCTGCTTTTCTTTCACCCTTTACCCGCATCTTTCCATTCTCTCCTTTATCCTTTCAAATTTATACCATACGTTAATGGCTTTATATAAAATCGCACCCGTAAATAAATGAAATTATTTTGCACAAAAATATATTGTTTTACAACTTTTCGCCTTGAATTTATTCTCTTCTTGACTCAATGTCATTGTTCAAATGTTTATTTTTTCGTTGGAGACATTCAAAGCCGTGAGGATGCCAACTCCACCCAGTAAAACACAAACAAAATTATTTGCTACAAAAACTACAGCAACATCTAGTCTAGTGAGGCTATGGCCGTGTACTTCAAAGAGGAGTTTAACAGCACCAAGGTGGAAGATGAGGAGGAGGAGGAGGAAGAAGAAGAGAAGGATAGCATTGTGCAAGCATGAAATTAATTCTATAAGGTCTATTCAACATGAATCTCAAATATCTCCAAACCCTAGTCCTGAAGTGCTCGAAGATGGGTTCAGTGGAACCTACAAGCAAAACTGATTTAAGTTGACCAGTCAAAAACATTGGAAGTCAAACAATAGAGATTGGGTAAAAATATGTAAAGAGAGATGTTGGAAAAAGAGAGATAACTAGAATCAGAAAGAAAAGAGAGATGCTACAAAATACCTTAATGTCACATCATTGTACTGACATATCAAATAAGGAAAATTGATGTTCACAATTAAGGTTGATAAAATTGTAAGTTGAAAATAGAACTTTCTAAAAAAATAAAAAAGTCATCTGAAAAATGATTTACGTCTTTTGCTTTAAGTCTCAGTAAAAAAATGTGCTCGCGAATTCGACCCCCATTCGGACATCATTCATTCTCTGGTCACTCGAGAACCTTCAGCTCGAGGATCTTTTTGGGAGAGAAATTCGTGTTCAAGCGATAGACATGTAGTAGAGCAAACATTTTTCAACTCTCAACTGTACTGGGCTAGAGAGAAAAAAAAGAAAACCATCTTCGTTCTCATCACCTATTTAAAATATCTTTGCTCGCATCACCTATTAAAAAGTCTTCGTTCGCATTATCTTTAAAAGGACTACGTTCGCATCAGCCATTAAAAAAGGAAAGGAATATAATACCTTTTTATCTCGCTAACGAAGAGAAAATCAGGTAATTATGCTGTGAACAGAGGAAAAGAACAGAGACGGAGATAATTTTAACGAAGATAAATGATAAAGCACACGAAAGGAGAATAAAAAAAGAAGAGAAAATGAAGAAAGATTCCTTGTATTGCCACAGATTGAGAGGATGACAGAAACAAAGACAAAAGTAGAGAAAGAAAGGATATATACAAGAAAACAATAACAAGTCTTTTGTATTAGCCAACTTTTCGATTAGGATTACGGCAAAGTGAAAAACAAAGAGAGAATCTTAAACTCTGTTAAGCCTGCAAGTAAGAGAACGAAAATAAAATGAAAAATATAAGTGATACTTGACTCCTTTTAACCTCTGATAGATAGGGATGTAAGTATCTTGAGTTAAGCAACCTGTATGCATTTAGATCATTCCGTAGGAGTAAGCACGTAAGAAAACACCACACTAAGCACCCCACTTTCTCTCTCTCTACCTTTGCGACAAATTAAAAAAAAAGTCTTTCTTTTTATTGTCTGATATCTACACAGATTTGATTTTTATTTACATTATACTCCACTGCCTTAACCGGGTATTGAACTCACACTCTTTGGGTCCTGTCAGTGGAGAACTTTCAGAGGGAGATTAACAGGAGATAACTGATAACTGACATCCATCAAACATGGCACGTGGAACTAGAACATTCTACCCCAGTGAGCGAAATAAAGGGTTCAGTTCGACATTCCAACCACCTGAAGAAGGCCGGAGCGTACAACGGCCGAAACGTTGTAATAAATATGGCGACAAAGATGAGGACAATAGTCCGAATAATGTAAATAATTTACATAATACCTCATCTCAGAAATATAGACATTTGATTTTGTGCTTATTTTGTTTTGTGATGTCAACGAACACTTGTTACCAACTTTTGTGATGTCAACGAATATTCGTTGTCACTTTTGTAATGCTTGTTGTAGTAGAGACTTTATAATCGCAGATACAACTATAGTAACGCCGTTGAACAATGCTGGTGTCAGATGCCTTCGAATAACACTCGCACTAATAGTACTTGCTCGATAATACTCGCTCGAATATTAATCCGTATAGTGATCCGAAAAGAGAAATAGTATAGTGAATAGAGTAGAGAAGCGGTCCATATAGTAATAGAATAGAAATGAAGATCGTTTAGATTTCACGCGTTTCCTTCCTACTTATGCGTTTCCTCTATGGTCACATGTTCTACTTAATTCAATAATGGGATCACCTGTGTTTGCCCACTGGCGATCTATGTTCAAACTCAAATGTCGGCAGTGACACTTTATTCCTATATTTCTACATTTTGTCTCTATATGTGAACGTCCTAGGTATGACGATAAACGTCATCCGGCAGCAAGGCCTCTGAACGGGAGGTTTTCAGGAACGTGGAACCACCTCTTAATTTCTGTTTCCAGGTCTACTCTGACCTGAGGTGGTAGCATATATTAGGGTCCCACCTATGGGCAAATAATTAACCCTCAAAATGGGATAAATAAACTATGAAAGTATAAAAGTAGATTTTTATAGGAAAAATAACAGCAATACATCTTTCAAAAAAAAAAAAAATAAATAAATAAATAAAAAAATTACCAGTTATACATTTTTGAAAAAACTACCAGCAATACATTTGACTCTCAACATAAACCCTCTTTACGACATAAACCTTCTTTACGACATAAACCCTCTTTACGACAATGAAACCTGATATAGAAACGGATTTCTTTCAACGAATATATATTCTATTCATACAAACCTATCCTAAAAATCTTGTCGGCAATAAATAATCCATTTATATTTATATTCCGTAAGAACAAATAAATTAAACCAAAATCTCGAAGTGATCTCGAAGTATTTTTTATTGAATGTTTCATTTTCTACAGCTTTTCAGGCTATTTAAATCCATAAAATATGTTTAGATTGTAAGATTTTGAGGGATATAATAATGGTTTAGTGATACAGGCCTTACTAATTAACCCATAGCAGGGGGAAGAAGAGGTGGATTCATACCTTTCCCCAAGGGTATTTGCACGTAAGTGAATGTAACGAAACCAATGGAAATTAGAACTCGACTTTCCAATCAAGAATTATACCACACGCACATCCAAGCTTACAGCAGCTGGTATTCCCAAGCGGTCACCCTTTTCGGTAATGACCAGGGTCGACATTGTTTAACTTCGGTGATCGTACGGGAACAGGTATTTCAACGTGATGTGGCCGTAAGCCCCGAAGAATTTTGTTTACAACAGCGTATAACAATGTTTTCAGATTCCACGTTCGAGATTAACTTCCCTGCCGTTCATTATTATCCTCAACAGTAAAACACATTCTACTACAGGACGTGAGAGTGTTCTATACTGAACAAAGAAACACACACGGGCTTTGTGGGTTTAGTATTGATATTAAACTTACCTTACAATGGCAAATAGAGAAAATAGATGGGAAATGATTTTATGGAGCCAATGGAAAAAGCCTGTCTTGAAAGTTCAGTCAGTTAAGTTAGCTTGCAGCATCTCAGCGCGTTGTCTCCATTTGTCCCAATTCATCGTGGCTGTTTTAAGTTCATCCTGATTTTCAATGGACATATTTTGCATAAGTATATATGTGAACGTCATGGCTTGATGGTCCCTGTTCTTCAGCCTTGTAGAAACCGTGTTTCATGCAAGACAATTTTTCCACAGATCACGCGCATAACAGAGTACAATAAACGAGACAATAGAATAGTATAAAAAGAAGTTTTACTCTTTCTATACGGCCTCATACCAAATAGTCCATACTCCGGTACCAAATTGTCCACGGCCCGGTAACAAATTGTCCACGGCACGGTACCAAATGGTCAACAGCCCGGTACCAAACGGTCCACAGCCCGGTACCAAATGGTCTACGCCCCGGTACTAGTCCTCAGCCTGGTGGTTGGAGACCACTGCTGTAGAGGGCTGCTAATACAACGAGTTTTGATACAATTTCTTCTGGATGACGAGCTGAAAATGATAGCTTGTAGTATTTGTCATGAACTTCCAGAAGTAAACAGAGGGTTTGAACGAAACGATCTAAAAGCAAACCATTGATGGTGGCAGTAGTATATTAGTTCTGAGTAATCTTCGGGAGTCAGGGGTGGTATGCTACTTGCATACTATATTTTTAGCGCTCTTAGCTCCTCTACTCTCATAACCAGGTGGCTCTATTTGGAACAAAATAAAGTGGATTTAGAAGTCTACCCTCGATAAAAAGAAACCTTGCCATTGAAAGCAGCATGGTGGATGGGTTGTTTCAACGGAAGAAATTAAATCAGTTAAGCACATGACGCTAGACGGCTAGGGCCAACCGGTTCGATGAGCGAACTATTGTTATCAGGAGGGGGGGCAGTGATCCCAGATTATACAACAGCAACCGAAACGACAATGAAGTTGTCTTAAAAAACAACGCTGAAAAACTGGAGGAAGAACCCTAATAAATGCTGACAGTGATAAGTGTGCAGAATTCCCCAAGCAGACTCAAGCCGATATTTATATATCTTCGCTTAATATAATACAATAAGGATTGAACACCCAATGAGGATTGAACTCATTACATCATTTTTCTCTGAATTTCTGGGATGTGGAGTTATCATTATTTATATTCGGACTATTGCTTTTATTTTTGTTGTTATCACAACGTTTCGACCGTTCTCTGGCCTTTATCAGATGTATATCGATCCGGATGACATTAGTAATGGTCTGTAAGATTAACTTTCTGTTATTCACTCTTCCTGGTTCATTAGTGGAGACTTTTTCTTAGCTCTCTTTATTTGAATCTTGACTCCTGTTTGTGAATTTTTAAAGGTTCCATATTTCAACGGCATTTTCAATTTAATGTTTCAAATGTTGAGATTTTATTCTACTTTTTATTTCACAAAAGCACAAAAAATAACATTATATAACATTATACCGGGTGTAACAGCAAAATTGTCCAAATCGTATGTTAGCGTGGGATTGTCCATCCCACATAATGTTTAATATTTAAAAAAAACAAACTAAACTAAGTGAGTTTCAATTTTCCAGGTTTTCAGATAATAACCTTTAGCCATCTTTATCGTAAGAATTACTGAAAAACCCTTTGCATTACTGAAAAACCCTTTCGGCTAGAAAGAGAACATGTTAAAATTGTTTTGTGCCAGCTCCACTGTCTTCCCAACTGAGCAATGGTGAGGGGGGAAATCATTCAGACCTTCAGTAATGGTATCAACATTCATATTATGTCCATTCAAGAACTATCAAGAGAACAGTGAATAAGTTTAAAAAAGCGGGAACAGTAGAGAGGGAAACTGGATCAGGATGTCACAACGGCAAGAGGGATCATCATTTCAACTTAGAGCTAAATACATTCTTATTGTTCATAGTAGAGTCCAATAGGGTTATAAAAACCTCGGAGAATTCCAGTAAGATATCTTTAATCATTTCTAAGATACAACGGTTCAAAGCTTAATCTAACAATTGGACAATTTTCTGTTGTTCGCAGGTCCACCGTGACCCGGTGTGGTAGCGCCTGTTTGGGTTGCAGCTATGGGCAAATCGTGAACCTCAAAACAAAAATCAACAGTACAGTTTTTATAAAATGAGCAACAATAAATTTTATGATCTACAAAATATGTATTTAAAAAAACATGTCTTTACCCTGAAAGTATAAAATTATCTGTAGTTGAAAACATAAAATTACGTATCTGTCTCTATTTCTGAGATGAAGTATTGTATTTATTTACACTATTTACATTGTTAGGGCTGTTGTTCTCATCCTTATTGACATATTCACGACGGTTCGGTCGTTGTACGCTCCGGTCTTCTTCAGGATCTGTCTATATTTCTGAGATGAGGTATTGTAACTATTTAGGTTGATCAGATTGTCGTCCTCACCTTTGTTACCGGTGGATAAAAGCATTGGTTGAAGAAATCTGCTGACTTTGTCCAAAGATCTTTGAGTTCAATACCAGGCCACAGCAGGGGTGAACAAAACACTTGGAGAGTTGAGTTAAAGAGAAATAACTGAAACTGAGATATCCGGGGTGGCATGGTACATGGAATTAGAAAACATCTACCTCGGTGGACGAAATAAGGGGTTGGATTCGAAATTCCAATCGCCTGAAGAAGGCTGGAGCGTACAACGGCCGAAACGTCGTGAATATGGAAACAAAGATGAGGACAACAGTCCAAACAATGTAAATAGTATATATAAAATATTTAGATTTCGGCATTAAATAACCCATAGAGGTTGCTATATTGCTAAATAAAATCAACCAGCCAAAAGTTCATATTTCTAGTAAAATGACATTTTATCTCGAAGGCATACAATTGCGCTCAAAATATATTTAGTTGAAGCCACAAAATTGTGTTCAAAATATTTCCATTTCAACATTAAATAACCAATAAATGTTGAAATGCCGCTAAAAAAATGTCAACCAACCAACTTAAATGCCGCCCTTTGTTGCCTCCGTTCGAGTTCAAGTCACTTCCCATTTATAATGAAATTATTTGTAAATGATAATTTTTAGTAAACTCTATTATTATTATTATTATTATTATTATTATTATTTAAGTATCGTCGCTGGTATGTCACTGTAGCTGACGAAGAAGGGAGACAGATCAAGGATTCTTCTTTCCTTCTTCCTCTTATTTTCTTATTAAGGGAAATAACTCGTAGTTAGTAGTTAATAAACGTGGAGTTATCTCCATTGGGAAGACGTTTCATCTCAAATTTTAATTAAATTTTACTCAGAAACTGGTAAATCGATTGCAGTAGAAATTGTTTTATTATCCAAGTGAGAGCATTTTAACGACCTTGCGCTAACAGAAATTGCGTTACAATGTGTCGTTTTGCTGTGTAGCAGCTTATACATATGCACTGAGAGCAGTTTTACATAAAATTTAATAAATTTTGTGTACATACGGATCCAGGTAATGACGCTAGGCATGTAATGCTCATACGGATTTTTAAGTAGTGAAATTAAGATTTCAGTAAAAATAATGTTTTGTACTTTCTGTACGTGTACAATAAATATGATCCCTACTTACAAAAAATATAGAAATGCAGGACTTTTTGAATAATATCTTTACTGATTACGAAACACTTGGTAAGTCATCCACGAACGAATGCGTTGCTGTGACGATCGCTAACAAAAAAACAAAAAACAAAAAAAACTGGCGCCAACGTAGGCTACGTAGCTGGGCTGGGTAACCCCCACTTCAGGGCAGATGAGGTCAAAAGCTGCACAATTTTCAATTTGTGGCAAATCATGTCAGCACCTGAAAAACTTTCGAATTTTGGAGGTTTTCGGATTTTGGAATTTCTGATAAAAGATAATCAACCTGTATAAACTTATATGAATAACACTCATGTACACCCAATCAGCTCATAGGTAAATATCTGTTCCATAAACCCATTTCGGATTATTTAAGCAATTCAAAAGCTAGACTATATATTAAAAAAGGGGAACATTTTGTTAGAAAAAAAGAAAAGAGTGATGAATTACTATATAATATTAATATTTATATATAGCAGGGAATATTGGACAATTTCCTCACAGATGAAGAAGAGAATTGGGGTGACAGAGATGTAGTTCTGTAGAGGGGTCCTGGGTTGCTATGCACGGAACATATGGGCGACGGGGAAGTTTTAAGGAAAATGGAAAGAAAAAGTTAATTTTTCTTAGAATCAAAAAGAGGCAGTTGAAATTGATCGGGGCACATAATTAAGAAAGAGGACTTAGAGAATTTGACACCCACAGGACATATTGAAGGCAAGAGGGAAATAGCGAGTAATCTAACGAAAGCGGAACAGACACTAGGAGAGATAGAAAGCGGACAAACATTGCCTAAAGCGCCAAAGGATAGGAAGTTTGGATTGAGTTATAATCGTCCACAGCCTGAAAAAAATACGGCACATAAAAAAAAAAAAAAAATGAAAGAAAAAAGATAAAGAAAAGAAAATAATAGAAAAGAATAATATTTCAACTGTTGAAAACGGTGGAAATTTAAAGGTATAAACTACCTGGACATTTTATTGACAGACATTACAGCCGAACACAGAAACAAAAATAAAACATTCTATTCTGATAGGTCATATTAGCAGCGTAAAATAATTGGTCCTTATTACCAAAATGGTGTACACCTCTCGATTAATGTCACGCCCACTTTATGAGTTTGATTGGCAGCGCCTTTGCAGACGATAGACAACCACTTTTGTGAATATAT